ATGGAAGGGACCCATGCCAGAGCAGTTAATGGAGAACTGCAGCCCCTGGAAAGGACTCACATTGGAGCAGTTTGTGAAGGACTTTCCCTTCCCTGGGGAAGGTTGGGGCAGAGGTGCCTTTTTAAGATGTAGTTCTCTTTCTCATTATCTTTGTTAACAATTAAGACCTAAATAAAATTAAATTGTTTTTGTGTTTTCCCCAAGTTGAGTCCGTTTCTTGCCCGTGACCATTAAGTGGTGAGTGAGCCCTCCCTGTCCTTGCCCCAGCACATGAGGGTTTTACCTTTTGTTCTTTCGATTCTCCTCCCCATCAACCCAGAAAGGAGGAGAGAGCAAGAGGCTGCGTGGTGCTTAGTTGACCAGTGGCCTTACACCATGACAGCCCTAAGCTGAACAGTACTGCACCAGCTGAAGCCTTACCACTACTGATAGAGCAGAGACTTTCTTTGCATGTGAACATTCCTACCCTAATAGCTTGAAACTAAACTAAAAAACCCAGGAAATTCTATCTTACCCTCCTGGAGAAATTCTGGAGATGCCATAGTGGCAGCTATGCCAAGCTCCCCTGAAATTCTCACTGAAAAGAAAGACAAATTCTCAAGCTTTGTCTATGGCATCCCCATCTATCACATTTCTCAGTTTGTACAACATCCAGGCTTACAACACCAGGCTCAATCTACCTCCTCTCCTGTCTTACTAAAAGCCTCCAAGAGGACATGAAGACAGAGTACAAGCATGCCCAAAAGCCAAAGAAGCCTCAAATTAATAATGCACTTTGATATGTGCAAAAGTCCAGCCTTCTCACTTAATATTAAACCAAGAAATCAACAAAAAAAACCAAACCACTAGGCAAATTTGGAACAACTTTAAGTGTCATGTTGAATCCGAGAAGGGAGTATCTTTTGAATAACCAGTTTTAAAGGCCTAGGCCTTCTCCATCAATACTCTGTGGTACAGATTCACAGATTTTACCAGACATTTGAGAACAGATCCTGATTTACTGCAAATGAGATTGGTAAAATGTTTGTCACTAATAGGAAGGATGATCAGTTATGCCATAATCTCTCCTAAAGGCAAGAAAGAAGGAAAATTGATAGCATGCATCAACATGTGAAAGACACAAAAAAGGAAAAATAAATTTATCAGTAAGATCACGGAGAAAAAAAGATCAAACAGAAAAGAATATCTGGACCAGTGAGCTAATTGCTTATAAAAAAAATAGACTGGTATTTCATATATGAGAGAGGAAAACATATTTTATGACTGGTTTCAAATGAAGGATAAAGAAAACCTACTGTATGAGACTAAATATTAGTCTTGCATACACTGAGCAGAACTTAAGAGCAATTTGGAGAAAGAACTAGTGCTATTTCAAGTGATCACAGTGCTAAAATACATTATTTTTAGCCAGACAAGGATCTCATCATAGTTTGCATCCCCTATGGTGTAATTTCATGTTATATTTGAGAAATTCCTCAATAAAAATGTCAAATAGAGAGCAAGGCCAGTTCCCCTGAGGACAGTTTTGGACACTGTCCAGTAAAAATGTTAACTATGAATTCTTAACCAAACACCTCCTCTCAATAAATAAATAAATAACAAATGTCACTTGATTAGAAAGAAAGAAATAGATGTTGAAACAAGAACTCAGGTAAAAACCATTTAACCTGTCAACTGCATCTTATATAATTAGTTGTGAATACTTCAAGTTTGTTATTTATAAAGAAAACTGTAATAATCTTGCTATACTGATGTTACTAGAAAGACATCCAGTGAAGGTTTACAAAGGAATGTAAACCCTGTCAAGAAGAGGTGGCTTGAGATTTTGCACAGACTTCAGTCAAACAAGAGATGCAGAAATCCTGACATAACAGTCTTGTCCATTACGGCCTGTTTCCTAGAGATTCCTAGATAGCCTACAGGACTACCAGTAAACTATCATAGGCTCCTATCCCTAGGCCTTCTATCTAAAATCACTAAACAAAGATTTCTGGTGACGTGTATGTGATAAAATGTGGCCTGAGTCACTGAGAGAGCAATTCATCTGATCTGCTCCTGTAGATCTCACATCACATCGGCCAGATCCAGGGTGTTCTCACTAGTACAAATCTCCTATGTCTAAACAGTCAAACTGCCCCCTAAGAGTTCTTGCTACCTGGCTCTCCATGTGTTGACAAAATGGACCCCAACAGTAATGCCTGGAAGGCCAATAGATGGGGTAGAAGTAGCAATAGTGTAGTCTGATGTTGGGTCACTCCTAGCAAATCTTCTATCCAAGCACATACACACCCATGGTGCTGCATGAGAAGACAGTTGAGGCAGGTTTTCAAAATCAACCTACTGCAAATTTTATACACTCATCTACAAATTCCATGGAAATGATATAATTCTATACAAGATCCACTAAAGCCCTACTTAATGTGTATACAGATTTAATTTCAGTATGCTGATCAAATATTACATTTTCTTAGAGGAACATAACCTTAATACATAGAATATATGACACAGTACCTAACTAGCAATCTTAATTTTGACAGTTCTGTAAAGTCCTACAGAGGTTGGGGAAGGACATGTAAAATCAGCAAAAGAATGCATTGAAAGGTGAAAAACATTGTCATTTACCTTGAGAAGAGTTCTTTGTCTCCTCATAATCCATGAAAAACAAGTGGTTTCTCAAAAATGCCTAATTTCCTCATGGGAAAAAAAATAATCTTTGGACCAAGTTTTATATACTGGGAAAATTTTCCAAAAGGTTCTAAAATCCTAATTCAGACACGTGCAAATACAAGGCTTGGTTTTTATTTGAGACCTCACTGTGTCCTCTTAAAAACAGACAACTCCATTGACACATTCATGTATCAGCTAGGGACCAAATGATGACAGAAAGATTAAGTTTTCTCTTTTCTAGCAATGGTATCCCAAATTGAGTTAGCACACAACAGGCAGTCACAGCAAGATTTGCATGGCCACTATCAGGATTAAAAACTTCAGTCTGAGACCTTACAACCAGACACTTTTGTCCTCAGTAAACTCACTCGAATTTTAAAGGGAGAAAGAGGAATGTCCCTTGATTACCTTTTCAGTGCTTCTAAGTAAAAGCAGTAATTTTACTGAGACATATCACAGACCATTCATTAGTTGCAAATATTCCATCTGTGTTTGAGGAACAGAAACCTCCCCACTCCATGGTCTCCAAATTAGAAAGGCAGCTGTGACCTCGTTTAGTGTCCTAAAGTTGCACACGGGGAGAATTGGAGCCCTTTGCTATTATTCCCACTCATCTGTTCACTGAACTTCTTCTAGAAGCAACATTTTCAGGTAACACAAAAAGTCAGCTCAGAGTAGACCATGAATATGGGCAGACACCAGTTCTGAAAACCTGAAAGATCTCTTGGCAAGCTTTGGATCAATACTTTCAACTGCAGCCACTTGTTAAGCACAATGGTTTCTATTATTGTAGGCCTTTTTTTTACCCCAAAACCCCCCAGTGTCTGAATAGAAATGAATGGAATTTACAAATTTGGCTATCTCCGTAGATCCTGCCTGTATGTTTCATGACCAGAGAGCAACAACACAGATAGCAGGGACCCAAATAAATCTCACAGGTCTCCTGAAGATTACAATGTATGTGCACAGCTATTTGAATTCCAAATAGTTGAACTATTTGATTATGTTTGTGTCCTGTTTTATTAAGAGATATTTATGAATATTAGTATAGAGTTTTTCTTTCTTTTTTAAATTAATGTCTGGCTGCTCTTTGTATAAGAAATACCTCTTGCACTTTAATCATTTGACCACCTCAGGCTGAAGCAAAAAAATCTGTGTAGTCTGTTTTATAACAAATGAAATTTGGAAGTCTGAGTCAAAAGCCTGTCAATGGTCAGGATATATAATCCATCTGAACAAATATTATTCAGTTTGAAAATGAACCCAGCAGGAAATATGTCTACAGAAAGGACAACCAAATCCTTGCTCAGAAATTCTAGTTGTTCCATAGATTCAGTGAGAGCAGACTTATGTTACTGGACTTCATTATTTCTATTTCACTACCTGATTTCTTGACTTTTATTGGAAAGAATCTCAGTTTTTACCAAACTAAAGGTGCTGTGTAACACAGAAAAAATACCCCTTTTCCACACCACTTTATAAACAACACCTTGAAATGAATTTGGGACTGTACCAAACAATGGACATTGCATTTATATTTTGTCTATTGAGAAAGGTAGTCCCTAGGCACTAGGATTTAGCTAAAATGACTACCAAGGGAGCAGGCAGGGGAAACTGGGTATAGCAGTCGAAGTTCATTTCCAGATAATTGGTGTGAAGAAATTTCAAAACAAAACATATACTTTTTTAGCTTATAGGATAAACCCAACCTATTTAAACCAGAGCCATGGACATGAATCAAAAAACCAGGTGCCAAAATCCTCAGACTGCTGAAGCAATTAAGATCCTGCTCTGAACATGGCTTTGTACAGTTAGTCCTCTTTGTAAATGGCTATTACTGATAACTGTTTCTTCCACCCTGTTTTATTGTCCAAGTGCTCCTTCATCACACTTGTACTTTTAACATTCTGTAATTTATTTTCATACAGCATATCCTAGAACTATATTACCCTAAAAAGGAAGAAAGGGGAGGGGGAGCTTTAAAGATATGACTGGAATTACAAAAGTTGGATGAAACAGACGAAACATATTTAAGTGGATGGGACAAATTACTTTCCTTAAAAAAGAAGCCCAAACATCCAGCACAGGGTTTAGAGGTCAAGGGTTTTTTAAGCAATGTTAAAGATGGGGAAACTGATGTTAGGATTAAGAGTGACAACTTTAAGGGTCTTGTCTAAACCACACTGCAGTCAATGGGCAGGTTTGAATTTATTCATTGTAATCTGGATCAAGTCTTTACGGAAAACATACTAGATGACAAAATGCAGCGAGCAGATCACACCTTCTTACCACATCCATGAAATGAAACTTTCTTGCCAGTATTCACTACTTACCAAGACAGTTGTGGCCGTCGTGGGCTAACATGAACCCATCATAGCACGTACACCTGTAGTTGCCTGGAATGTTGATACACTCATGGACACAACCCCCATTGTAGAAGTCGTTCTCACACTCATCAATATCTAAAACACAATAGGAGGAAAAAGAAGCTTTTGTAAAAAGAGAATACTAAGATTTCATCCAACAGATGGCTCAGGCAATTACTGACTAAATATATCAGGGGCATATATGACGGAAAAACAGCAAGCCAATGTATAGAACACTTCTCTAAATAATTGCAGTATCACCAGAGTAAACAATTATATGTTGTCAAAAAATAAAAAGAAACACTGGATTTTGGTATATTTTTTATATTTACAATGTACTTTTGGGTTTTGTCTTTAAAATAATCAAGTAGAAAATGAGTTAAACCTTTGACTCTGTAGTAACAAACTACCTGAAACATGCTATTGATATGGCATAAGACAAGAGAAAAGTATACCTTAACAAAAAATTGCCTTCTCAGAACAAGGAAGATCTGGTATATTCCTGACAATACATAAGGCTGTAGTTCTATACAATAAACATTGAAAAACACCATTTCTAAAATAGCTGTCACAGTCCACTCAGCTCTATGAAGTTACTATTGATAACTTGGTACAGTTTTGTCTGTTTCTTCCCCTTCCCCAAAATATAAGCCCTATTGTAATTTTCTGTATTAATCCACATAGGGCAACAACAACAATGACAGAAAGACCAACATTCTATACTTAGAAGGTATGCTAGAATTATTTTTAATTTTTTATTGTACACTGGCCTGTATCTGAAAGAATACCATGAATTATAAGAGAGATGCATTCTGCTTCAGCTACAAACAATCCTTTTACAATCTTCCCTTCCTCAAACAAAAATCACTTCTTCACTCATTCTAGAAAGCGTGAACTTTCTTCTTTTTACAGATTGTATCTTGGCTTCTACATGGAACATTAGCATCAGAGTCACTGCTGTGAATCATTTAGTGGTGCATATCAACCAAATGAAAATACACAAATAATTATAGACAGCCTCATAGTTTAATAATTATCAGCACTAAATCTGTGGTGCACTAGATGAAAAACCCCAGCTACTGTCCCTAATTCAGACAATGCACGATAAATGGATAAAGTAATATTTTTAGAAAATCACCTGTTAGTATATCACAGAATCACAGAATCACAGAATGTTAGAGATTGGAAGGGACCTCGAAAGATCATCTAGTCCAATCCCCTATCCTGTCTGTGCATCTCAAACATGTCTTCCATTGAAGAGGTGGTTGAAATATTTTTGTGCTAGGTTCACGTTCACGCAGTCTTTTTTTTTTTTTTTTCCCCCCCCCCCCACTTTTAACAGTACTCTAGAAAAGCTTTACTACCTGGTATCATACCCAGCCACAATCTCAAAACAGCAGCATAGTTTGGTAAAAAACAGATTCTTCTGAAAAGCCAGCTCAGGGTCAGTCACCCAATGCTTTCAGCATTTTTGGCCCATAGATTGAGTCTGGCTAGCTTCGTCCCTCCTTGCACAATCCTCTGAGAAGTCTGATCTTTCAGAGCAGAGACAGGCCCCTCCCAGGTTTTTTTGCAAGCCTTCCCCCTAAGGTCTGCCCCTCTGAGAAACCCACCTTAAACTCAGAATAGCCCGGGTCTCCATCCACTTCCCACAAACAGCCCTGAAGCCTCCCTTCTACAGTTTCCTCAGTAGCTTGAAATGGGAATTACAAATTTGACTTTATCTGCAAACCCGCTTAGACTTTTTGTAACTCAGCATTCAGCACCACAAAAATGCTGGAAATAAGAAGCTGGAGAAAGGATCTTCCTAACCAAAATACGACCTGCTGCTTAAAGGTAAACTTCCCAGTCTTTTAACCACTGCTCTGCTTCAGAAAGTTCCCATCCTTTACCATTTCCATCCATTAGTTGCACAAGTGCTGAGTCAGCACAGCCTGTGGATGCTCTACCTTCTGGAGTCCAGTATGACAACAAAAAGATATGTCTGTGATTTTTCCTGAAAACAATAACCAGCAAGTCAATTACTGCATACTGGGCTCATTCCAAAGACACCTGCAGCATGGCAGTGCAAAGTCCCCGAGATTACAGCCCAGTGTGCCTGGGTGCACATTGCCAAAGCATTCCAGTGAGGTTTCCTTCAGCAGATATTTGCAGCTTCCATAACCATTCATTAATATTTTGAGAAACTTCCTATCATTCTCAGGCTACAGGGACAAAAATAGAACTCTACGGTAATGCCAAGTTTTAACCAAAAAGCACGTAACATAATTTTGATGTCAGGCACGTTGGGCATTCCTTCAGGACACTCAGGACAAATGTTAACTTCATTTTAAGATTTGTTCTTAACATATATCCAGCACTGAGTTTCTTCAAAAGAGGGAATTCAGAAGCAAGTGTTATCAGTTTCTATGTTACTCAGCATCAGTCTGCCAAGGGCTGATCAATTAATTCCTTTTTTTTCAAACAGTGAATCAAATAGGATTATTTGTTTAAATAAGTGATGGGAAAGTCTTCAAAAGGGACAAAAATCAAAGAAACATGAAGCCTTCTGAATGCCTACCCTTGATATAATACTTACCTCGAAAAAGCTGTACTGTGATTAGTAATACAAGGTGCTGATGTAATACAAATACTTAAGTTCCAGAAAGGGTAATCTAACAGATACATAAACCAGAAAAATAACAAAAGAAACAGATTCTTTTAATCTCTCTCTCAAGGAGTTCCAGTTATGTTAAATTTTGCAAAAGGATTAGAAGATTACCTCTCCCTTTTGTACTCCAAGAGCTGCACAAAACTAGGTGTGGAGCCAAACATTCTACCTATTTTTAAGAGCCATGTTGTGGGTTTTTTGGTGTTTCCTTCCCCTCCAAAAACCCATTGCTATTTAAGAGCCTTCACCTGGCAGGCTGACTGGAATTTCTATCTCCAGTACTGCTAGTAAAACACCAGGGGGATAAGACTGACAAATTTAACAAGGTATTTTTAAAACAAAAACAAACAAAAGAACCCACCAAAAGCATGCACAAAGCCTGCAAAGTCCAAATGTTGAACTTTCTTCAAGCTCCAGCTGCATCAAGAGAATAGCAGCCAATGTGCCTGTAAACAAATTGAACATTACCCCATCTTCCTATATACCTGGAGGAGGACTTTCTTTAAAGAATGCCTCAGTGAAAGTGCTGAACAACTATAATTTACAGGCAGAATATTACATCTGACATGGCAGGATATGGCTTCCTTAGTAAGCTTAATATAGCGGTAAAAGCAGTAAGAGTACATTCAACCACATAAAACTTGCAGGCTTGCTCTTAATTTTATCTGTTGTAAAACTCAGAATTTGCAAAGGTCAGCTAAGTTCATTTCCTTTTGGTTAGGTCATATCCTATTATTCTTTTTTTTCCTGTAATTGGTAGAATTAGGTGTTAATCAAACTCTTGGCTTCAAACACCTCTAGCTCAGAAAGTTAACTCTTCTCACTGATTTTGTAGCTTCAACTATCCTTAACTTAATATTGTCTTTCACCATGAAGGAATTACCATAACACAAAACCAAAACAAGATGAACCGAAAAATGTTGCTATCCGACCATGATATCGCTGTGCTGGATGTAGCTGCATATATTGTTGAATTAGCAAGGTCTAGTGCAATCTAGCTCTCAATGGGAAACTTAAAGTTTTATCTACACTGGCAAAATATTGATGAAGTTTTCACTCCAGTAAACTGTGGCTGTGCAAACAGGCAACACTTGGGGTGCCTAGTGAAGAAAACACCTTAGAAAAATATTGCAACTTCCTCTCTAAGAGGAATTCATTTCACATTGTATTACAATGGAAGCAATTACAGGAGCCCTGGAAAAAAATTAAATGCACCGAAATGATCAAGAAAGCATAGGGCCATTTATAATAATGGCATAGTCTGCCAAGAGCCTGCTTACTGCATTCAAGTGAGACAGCAACTCCTAATGTCAGAGATAGATGCATACAACCACATCCTCAGCTATTGGTGAGCTAGGTTTGACCATGTCTTTCTGGAAATGGTTTGAGATATCTCCAAAATCCACTGCTTGTTTCAAAAGTTTCAAAGAAAAAAATCATCAGGAAAAAAAAAAAAGATAAAAAGCAGCTTGCTTAGTTGGGTGTACTAGCAACTGTACTGGTTCAGCTATTTGCCAAGGTGAAAGAAGCTTGAAAACTACATCATAATTCCTTCTGGAAAGCAGAGGTGAATCTTCTTGTTACAGCCTGGAAATAACTCTCTTTCAGCAACCCTAGGGAACACAGCACTGCCATGCTCTGCTGTTGCCCTCCTCAATAAGCAGTGGTGTTACTTAAAGAGTACATACTGTATGAGACTGCAATTATTAAATAAGCATCCAAGAACTTTTTTAAAAAACCTAGACAAGTATCTGAGAAAATCCTAGCGGTTGTTACCAAGCCTCAGTCTTCACTGGTAAGTGCCTGAGTCACAGAAAGCAAAGGCAGTGACTGGGAGAATGAAGAACCGCCCACTGTAGGAGAAGATCAGGTTCGAGACCATCTAAAGAACCTGAAGGTGCACAAGCCCATGGGACCTGCTGAAATGCATCTGCAAGTCCCGAGGGAACTGGCAGATGAAATTGCTAAGCCACTATCCATCATATTTGAGAAGTCATGGCAGTCTGGGGAAGTCCCTGCTGACTGCAAAAGGTGAAACATAACCCACATTTTTGAAAAGGGAAAAAAGGAAGACCGGGGAATTACAGGTCAATCAGTTTCACCTCTGTGTACTGCAAGATCACAGAACAGGCACACAGAAAATGAGGTGATTGGTGAGAGCCAACATGGCTTCACCAAGGGCAAATCATGCCTGACAAATTTGGTGGCCTTCTATGACAGGGTTACAGCACTGGTGGATAAGGGAAGAACAACTGACATCAGCTACCTGGACTTGTGCAAGGTATTTGATGCTCCTTGTCGCTAAATTGGAGAGACATGGATTTGATGGATGGACCACTCAAGGGATAAGGAAGTGGCTGGATGGTCACACTCAAAGAGTTGTGGTCAATAGCTCAATGTCCAAGTGGAGACCAGTGACGAGTGGCGTTCTGTAGGAGTTGCTATT